GCTGGTGCTGCAGTCCCTCCCTTTCCAAGTGGTGGACTCAGCACCTTTCCGAGAAATGATGGCTTGTGCTGCGGCCGCGGTGGAGAGTGCCAAGCCGTCATTTCTTCGCCAAAAAGGCAGTGCCAGCCCTGCATTCACATGTAGAAGAGATGGTGGGCCAGTCTTTGAGCATGTCGGTCTCTGCCAAAGTGCACGGCAGCGCCGACGTGTGGAGCTGTAACTACGGTCAGGGACAGTACATGTCATTTACGGCCCACTGGGTGAACGTGGTGCCGGGCACAGCCGCACCAGCAACTTGGACAGGTCACGACGCTTTTGCCTCCACGTTTGCACGTCCTTGGTCCAGCAAAGATGTCCGCCTCTACCACCTCTTCTTCCGCCGTGTCCTCAGCCGCCACCCCCGTGCCAAGTCCCATTACCCGACCGGCATATCACATGTGCAGGGCGCAACGGTGTCACGCTGTGCTGCACCTGGTATGCCTTGGCGAACGTAGTCACACAGGGGAGGAACTTCTGAGTGTAATGAACAGAGAAATCGACAGATGGCTGTCTCCGCGCAAACTGAAAATCGGAACCATGTTGACCGACAACGGAAAGAACATGGTGTCTGCTCTGCGTCAAGGAAGGTTGTGCCATGCGCCATGCATGGCTCACGTGTTCAATCTGGTTGTCAAGCGGTTCCTAAAATCCACCATCCCACTGCAAGACATCCTTAAAATGTCACGTAAACTTTGCATGCATTTCAGCCATTCCTACACCGCAAAGCACACCCTCCTTGAGCTGCAGCGGCAGAACGGAATTCCACAGCATCGCCTGATCTGCGACGTTGCAACAAGGTGGAATTCAACCCTACACATGTTAGACCGCCTTTACGAACAGCGAAAGGCCATCACCGATTTCCTGATGTTACAAGCGGATAAAGGTACTCCCCTGTGTAACTTCGATGTCAGCCATTGGCAGCTCATGCGTGACACCTGCCGCTTGCTCAGGCCCTTTGAGGAGGCCACGCTATTCGTGAGTCGGCAGGACTATGGGATGAACGACGTCATTCCTCTGTTGCACGTCCTGGAACAAATGCTGTTAACAATGGCTGGTCAGGGTGCGGTAGACGTGGCGCACAGATCTCAACGCCACATGACCCCTGTGGGGGCAGGACAGGAAGAAGAGGAGGAGGTAGAGGAGGACATTGGTGCTCAGGAATTATTGAGTGAAATGGGTGGTTTTTCCACTCAGCGGACAGGAGTGGAGGAGCAGGAGCATCTGGTAGAGGAGGAGGAGGAGGAGACAGAGGACCCAGACGCACCGTGGCAGTATGCTGTGGAGATGGAGGCAGGGAGTCCCTCGCATTCCTTGGCACAAATGGCCCATAGCATGCTCGGTTGCTTGCGTAGCGACAGCCGAATAATAACCATCAGACAGAGGGATGACTTTTGGCTGTCCACCTTGTTGGACCCTCGCTACCGTTCAAAAATGGTGGCCTTTTTCACACCTGCTGAGAGGGAGGCCAAAATAACGTACTATAAAAACCACCTATGTAGTCAGTTGGTCTCTGCCTTTCTGCGCCAACGTCCATCCTCAGACACTGTGGGCCCTGTGCGCTCGCGTTCCGCTGCCATGGCAGCAGGGGAGGGGTGGGGTGGTAGGAGCAGTGGCAGCTCCACCAGCAGCGGCTGCCTCAGTCTGCAGTCGATGATGAGTAGCTTTCTTCACCAGCGCAGTGAGGAAACTACTAACCAGCCGCAAGCAGCAGCAGCAGCATCAGGTGGACCTGGAGCAGGACCTCAAACAACAGGCTTGGCCTACTTGGACAGCACCCTGCCAACCGAGGTAGACAATCCCCTTGACTACTGGGCAACGAAACTTGACCTTTGGCCCCAACTAGCTGAATTTGCCCTTGAAAGGCTGTCATGCCCGGCCAGTAGCGTGGCATCGGAGCGCGTGTTTAGTGCGGCAGGAGGTATTGTAACTCCGCGGAGGACACGACTGTCCACCCAAAGTGTGGAGAGACTCACGTTTGTGAAAATGAATCAGGCGTGGATTAGTCTGGATTTAAAACCACCAGTTCCTGACACAACTGACTAAATCCGCCATGAATCATGCCCCAAACATGTGCCACTTTCAGGTCTCCTCACACTGCTGCTGGGTTCCATTTTTTGTCATAGGGTGCTGGCAGATTACGGGCCTCCCATTGCTGCTGCCAGGCCTGTAATCTGCCATGGGCCCCTGTACCGCCTCCTCATGCTGCTGCCAGGTCCAGAGTGTCTCATGGGTCCCTGTACGGCCTCCCATTGCTGCTGTCTCCATCGCCACACTCTGCCATGTGCCACTTTCAGGTCTCCTCACACTGCTGGTGTGTCCATTTTGTCATAGGGTGCTGGCAGATTACGGGGCCTCCCATTGCTGCTGCCAGGCCTGTAATCTGCCATGGGCCCCCGTACCGCCTCCTCATGCTGCTGCCAGGTCCACAGCGTCTCATGGGTCCCTGTACGGCCTCCCATTGCTGCTGTCTCCATCGCCACACTCTGCCATGTGCCACTTTCAGGTCTCCTCACACTGCTGGTGCTGTCCATTTTTTGTCATAGGGTGCTGGCAGATTACGGGCCTCCCATTGCTTCTGCCAGGCCTGTAATCTGCCATGGGCCCCCGTACCGCCTCCTCATGCTGCTGCCAGGTCCACAGTGTCTCATGGGTCCCTGTACCGCCTCCCATTGCTGCTGTCTCCATCGCCACACTCTGCCATGTGCCACTTTCAGGTCTCCTCACACTGCTGCTGGGTTCCATTTTGTCATAGGTTGCTGGCAGATTACGGGCCTCCCATTGCTGCTGCCAGGCCTGTAATCTGCCATGGGCCCCTGTACCGCCTCCTCATGCTGCTGCCAGGTCCAGAGTGTGTCATGGGTCCCTGTACGGCCTCCCATTGCTGCTGTCTCCATCGCCACACTCTGCCATGTGCCACTTTCAGGTCTCCTCACACTGCTGCTGGGTTCCATTTTGTCATAGAGTGCTGACAGATTACGGGCCTCCCATTGCTGCTGCCAGGCCCCTAATCTGCCATTGTCCCCTGTTCCGCCTCCTCATGCTGCTGCCAGGTCCACAGTGTCTCATGGGTCCCTGTACCGCCTCCCATTGCTGCTGTCTCCATCGCCACACTCTGCCATGTGCCACTTTTCAGGTCTCCTCACACTGCTGCTGGGTTCCATTTTGTCATAGGTTGCTGGCAGATTACGGACGTCTCCCATTGCTGCTGCCAGGCCTGTAATCTGCCATGGGCCCCTGTACCGCCTCCTCATGCTGCTGCCAGGTCCACAGTGTCTCATGGGGTCCCTGTACCGCCTCCCATTGCTGCTGTCTCCATCGCCACACTCTGCCATGTGCCACTTTCAGGTCTCCTCACACTGCTTCTGGGTTCCATTTTGTCATAGGGTGCTGGCAGATTACGGGCCTCCCATTGCTGCTGCCAGGCCTGTAATCTGCCATGGGCCCCTGTACCGCCTCCTCATGCTGCTGCCAGGTCCACAGTGTCTCATGTGTCCCTGTACCGCCTCCCATTGCTGCTGTCTCCATCGCCACACTCTGCCATGTGCCACTTTCAGGTGTCCTCACACTGCTGCTGGGTTCCATTTTTTCATAGGGTGCTGGCAGATTACGGGCCTCCCATTGCTGCTGCCAGGCCCGTAATCTGCCATGGGCCCCCGTACCGACTCCTCATGCTGTGACGTTGCAACAAGGTGGAATTCAACCCTACATATGTTAGACTGCCTTTACGAACAGCAAAAGGCCATCACCAATTTTCCTGATGTTACAAGCGGATAAAGGTACTCCCCTGTGTAACTTCGATATCAGCCATTGGCAGCTCATGCGTGACACCTGCCGCTTGCTCAGGCCCTTTGAGGAGGCCACGCTATTCGTGAGTCGGCAGGACTATGGGATGAACGACGTCATTCCTCTGTTGCACGTCCTGGAACAAATGCTGTTAACAATGGCTGGTCAGGGTGCGGTAGACGTGGCGCACAGATCTCAACGCCACATGACCCCTGTGGGGGCAGGACAGGAAGAAGAGGAGGAGGGTAGAGGAGGACATTGGTGCTCAGGAATTATTGAGTGAAATGGGTGGGTTTTTTCCACTCAGCGGACAGGAGTGGAGGAGCAGGAGCATCTGGTAGAGGAGGAGGAGGAGACAGAGGACCCAGACGCACTGTGGCAGTATGCTGTGGAGATGGAGGCAGGGAGTCCCTCGCATTCCTTGGCACAAATGGCCCATAGCATGCTCGGTTGCTTGCGTAGCGACAGCAGAATAATAACCATCAGACAGAGGGATGACTTTTGGCTGTCCACCTTGTTGGACCCTCGCTACCGTTCAAAAATGGTGGCCTTTTTCACACCTGCTGAGAGGGAGGCCAAAATAACGTACTATAAAAACCACCTATGTAGTCAGTTGGTCTCTGCCTTTCTGCGCCAACGTCCTCCTCAGACACTGTGGGCCCTGTGCGCTCGCGTTCCGCTGCCATGGCAGCAGGGGAGGGGTGGGGTGGTAGGAGCAGTGGCAGCTCCACCAGCAGCGGCTGCCTCAGTCTGCAGTCGATGATGAGTAGCTTTCTTCACCAGCGCAGTGAGGAAACTACTAACCAGCCGCAGCAGCAGCAGCAGCGCATCAGGTGGACCTGGAGCAGGACCTCAAACAACAGGCTTGGGCCTACTTGGACAGCACCCTGCCAACCGAGGTAGACAATCCCCTTGACTACTGGCAACGAAACTTGACCTTTGGCCCCAACTAGCTGAATTTGCCCTTGAAAGGCTGTCATGCCCGGCCAGTAGCGTGGCATCGGAGCGCGTGTTTAGTGCGGCAGGAGGTATTGTAACTCCGCGGTGGACTCGACTGTCCACCCAAAGTGTGGAGAGACTCACGTTTATGAAAATGAATCAGGCGTGGATTAGTCTGGATTTCAAACCACCAGTTCCTGACACAACTGACTAAATCCGCCATGAATCATGCCCCAAACATGTGCCACTTTCAGGTCTCCTCACACTGCTGGTGGGTTCCATTTTGTCATAGGGTGCTGGCAGATTACGGGCCTCCCATTGCTGCTGCCAGGCCCCTAATCTGCCATGGGCCCCTGTACCGCCTCCTCATGCTGCTGCCAGGTCCACAGTGTGTCATGGGTCCCTGTACCGCCTCCCATTGCTGCTGTCTCCATCGCCACACTCTGCCATGTGCCACTTTCAGGTCTCCTCACACTGCTGCTGGGTTCCATTTTGTCATAGGTTGCTGGCAGATTACGGGCCTCCCATTGCTGCTGCTAGGCCTGTAATCTGCCATGGGCCCCTGTACCGCCTCCTCATGCTGCTGCCTGGTCCACAGTGTGTCATGGGTCCCTGTACGGCCTCCCATTGCTGCTGTCTCCATCGCCACACTCTGCCATGTGCCACTTTCAGGTCTCCTCACACTGCTGCTGGGTTCCATTTTGTCATAGGATGCTGGCAGATTACGGGCCTCCCATTGCTGCTGCCAGGCCCCTAATCTGCCATGGGCCCCCTGTACCGCCTCCTCATGCTGCTGCCAGGTCCACAGTGTGTCATGGGTCCCTGTACGGCCTCCCATTGCTGCTGTCTCCATCGCCACACTCTCTGCCATGTGCCACTTTCAGGTCTCCTCACACTGCTGCTGGGTTCCATTTTGTCATAGGGTGCTGGCAGATTACGGGCCTCCCATTGCTGCTGCTGCCAGGCCCCTAATCTGCCATGGGACCCTGTACCGCCTCCTCATGCTGCTGCCAGGTCCACAGTGTGTCATGGGTCCCTGTACCGCCTCCCATTGCTGATGTCTCCATCGCCACACTCTGCCATGTGCCACTTTCAGGTCTCCTCACACTGCTGGTGGGTTCCATTTTGTCATAGGGTGCTGTATGGCCTCCCATTGCTGCTGCCTCCACCGCCACACTGTGGCTCCACACTCTGGTTTTGGCCCCGTGACTGCCCAAATGAGTGAAGTGTGCGGTGATTCTAAGATCGACGGCACTCATCTGCATGTCATACTGACTGACGGTATTATTTCTCTTCCCCAGCAGACTCCAAGGGCATTTAAATTAAAGGTACAGTGTTCTGCACTAATATAAAGGCTCTCTGAAGCCTAGAAACACCCTTTTATAAGTTAAATTCGCAGAGAATATATTCGACTCGAATCAAATTTTTTTCACGAATTCGCCGAACCAGTCGAATCGAATTTTTGAATAATTCGCTCATCTCTAGTTATCATGTTGGAATACTGCCCTGCGGCCCAGTCTCTGAAGGGAGGGGATCATGCTCTGCTTCAGTATGTCACAGTACATGTTGGCATTCATGGTTCCCTCAATGAACTGTAGATCCCCAGTGCCGGCAGCACTCATGCAGCCCCAGACCATGACACTCCCACCACCATGCTTGACTGTAGGCAAGACACACTTGTCTTTGTACTCCTCACCTGGTTGCCGCCACACACGCATGACACCATCTGAACCAAATCAGTTGATGTTGGTGTCATCAGACCACAGGACATGGTTCCAGTAATCCATGTCCTTAGTCTGCTTGTCTTCAGAAAATTGTTTGCGGGCTTTCTTGTGCATCAACTTTAGAAGAGGCTTCCTTCTGGGACGACAGCCATGCAGACCAATTTGATGCAGTGTTTGGCATATGGTCTGAGCACTGACATGACCCCCCCCCCCCCCCCCACACACACACACACACCCCTTCTACCTCTGCAGCAATGCTGGCAGAACTCATACATCTATTTCCCAAAGAGAACCTCAGGATATGACGCTGAGCACGTGCACTCAACTTCTTTGGTGGTCCATGGTGAGGCCTGTTCTGAGTGAAACCTGTCATGTTAAACCGCTGTATGGTCTTGGCCACCATGTTGCAGCTCAGTTTCAGGGTCTTGGCAATCTTCCTATAGCCTAGGTCATTGTAGAGGAACAATTCTTTTTTGCAGATGCTCAGAAAGTTCTTTGCCATGAGGTGCCATGTTGAACTTCCAGTGACCAGTATGAGAGAGTGAGAGCGATAACACCAAATTTAACACACCCGCTCCCCATTCACACTTGAGACCTTGTAACACTAACGAGTCACATGACACCGGGGAGGGAAAATGCCTTACTGGGCCCAATTTGGACCTTGTCACTTAGGGGTGGACTCACTTTTGTTGCCAGTGGTTTAGACATTAATGGCGGTGTGTTGAGTTATTTTGAGGGGACAGCAAATTTACATGTTATACAAGCTGTACACTGACTACGTCACATTGTAACAAAGTGTCATTTCTTCAGTGTTGTCACATGAAAAGATAGAATCAAATATTTACAAAAACGTGAGGGGTGGACTCACTTTTGTGAGATATAGGATATATAATGTTTGGGGGTTCTGAGTAATTTTCTTGCAAAAAAAATGAAGATTTTTATATGTAGGAGATACATGTGTTTCCTGCAAACAGATAATGAACGCCTTGTGGTAGTTAATACAGACAAATACGGCACATCTTTTTAAAGGATCCCCTAACCCATGTACGTTACAGTACACTATAACAATAGTTTGAGAAGACATATGATATAAGGTAATGCATTACAAGTGGAGAGTTCAGTAAGGATGGAAGAATCAAAAGTTCTTAAAGTGTTACTAAACCCACAACAGTACAATCAGTCTGTAGATGCAGTAAACCATGTTTGTTGTACTCACTGTGGAACCTAAGGGGTTAATCCTCTGCATTGTGTAAAAAGGCTGTTCTATCCTGTCATCTCTGATCTTCCCTTTTTTCTACTGTCCCCAGTATCTCCTGATAGAACAAAGGCTTGGAGGTAAGTTGCACATGCTTAGTTTGGTGTGTATTGCTAGAGAGTTTTTTTTTTTTCTTTGGAGAGTGTATGTGGTTAGCACATGAGCAATCAGAACTGTCCAGATAGAAGGTCAGGGATCCTGCAGCCTCTCGGGGAAAATAAGAACTCATTCTACAAGCTTTAACCAGGGCTCTGCTGGACACTGATAAAAGTCACAAGACAGCAATATACAGTGCCTTGAAAAAGTATTCATACCCCTTGAAATGTTCCACATTTTGTCATGTTACAACCAAAAACGTCAATGTATTTTTTTTGGATTTTACGTGACAGACCAACACAAAGTGGCACATAATTGTGAAGTGGAAGGAAAATGATAAATGGTTTTCACATTTTTTTTTACAAATAAATATGTGAAAGGTGCAGCATACATTTGTATTCAGCCCCTTTACTGTGATATCCCTAACCAAAATCTAGTGGAACCAATTGCCTTCAGAAGTCACCTAATTAGTAAATAGAGTCCCCCTGTGTGTAATTTAATTTCAGTATAAATACAGCTGTTCTGTGAATCCCTTGGAGGTTTATTAGAGAACATTTGTGAACAAACAGCATCATGAACGTATAGACTCCAGAGAGAGAGATATATAATTTCCCCCGGTACAAATTATTAGTAACACCTCATCTGGAATACGCAGTTCAGTTTTGGGCACCAATTCACAGAAAGAACATTGGGGAACTGGAGAAAGTACAGAGAAGGGCAACCAAACTGATAAGAGGCATGGAGGAGATCAGCTATGAGGAAAGATTAGAGGAACTGAATTTATTCTCTCTTGAGAAGAGGAGATTAAGGGGGGATATGGTCTCCATGTATAATACATAAGGGGGGATATGATCTCCATGTATAATACATAAGGGGGGATATGATCTCCATGTATAATACATAAGGGGGGATATGATCTCCATGTATAGTACATAAGGGGGATATGATCTCCATGTATATTACATAAGGGGGGATATGATCTCCATGTATAATACATAAGGGGGATATGATCAACATGTATAATACATAAGGGGGGATATGATCTCCATGTATAATACATAAGGGGGGATATGATCTCCATGTATAATACATAAGGGGGGATATGATCTCCATGTATAATACATAAGGGGGGAAATGATCGCCATGTATAATGCATAAGGGGGTGATATGATCTCCATGTATAATACATAAGGGGGAATATGATCTCCATGTATAATACATAAGGGGGGATGTGATCTCCATGTATAATACATAAGGGGGATATGATCTCCATGTATAATACATAAGGGGGATATGATCTCCATGTATAATACATAAGGGGGATATGATCTCCATGTATAATACATAAGGGGGATATGATCTCCATGTATAATACACATAAGGGGGATATGATCTCCATGTATAATACATAAGGGGTGATATGATCTCCATGTACAATACATAAGGGGGGATATGATCTCCATGTATAATACATAAGGGGGGATATGATCTCCATGTATAATACATAAGGGGGATATGATCTCCATGTATATTACATAAGGGGGGATATGATCTCCATGCTAATACATAAGGGGGGATATGATCTCCATGTATAATACATAAGGGGGATATGATCTCCATGTATAATACATAAGGGGGGGATATGATCTCCATGTATAATACGTAAGGGGGATATGATCTCCATGTATAATACGTAAGGGGGATATGATCTCCATGTATAATACGTAAGGGGGATATGATCTCCATGTATAATACATAAGGGGTGATATGATCTCCATGTATAATACATAAGGGGGGATATGATCTCCATGTATAATACATAAGGGGGGATATGATCTCCATGTATAATACATAAGGGGGGATAAGATCTCCATGTATAATACATAAGGGGGATATGATCTCCATGTATAATACATAAGGGGGGGATATGATCTCCATGTATAATACATAAGGGGGGATATGATTATTATTATTATTATACAGTATTTATAAAGCGCCAATAGTTCACTCAGCGCTGTACATTACAAAGGGGGACAGAACATGTGACAGAACAATACCAATACAATGCAAAACATGAGGGGATCGAGGGCCCTGCTCTTTCGGGCTTACAATCTAGAAGGGATGGGGCAGTGGTACAGGAGGAGATAGCTGTGGGGGATGGAGTGGTAGGAAGAGTGGAGGAGGTCAGCAAGTTAGCAGGGGGTGAGGTAGGCTTCCCTGAAGAGATGGGTTTTCAGGGTGCGCCTAAAGGAGAGGAGAGTAGGTGATAATCTGATGGGTTGGGGCAGGGAGTTCCAGAGGATGGGTGACACCCTGGAGAAGTCCTGGAGGCGGGCATGGGAGGGAGGAGACCAGGGAACTAGAGAGAGGGAGGTCTTGTGAGGAGCGGAGTGTGCGTGCTGCAGGGCGGTACTTGGATATTAGGTCAGTGATGTAGTTCGGGGCAGTATGGTGGACAGCTTTTGTACGTAAGTGTTAGGATTTTAAATTTGATCCGTTGCGCAATCGGAAGCCAGTGGAGGGATTGGCAGAGGGGGGTGGCGGAAATGGAGCGGTTGGAAAGGTGAATGAGTCTGGCAGCCGTATTCAGGATGGACTGAAGCGGGGATAGCCAGCGGCGAGGCAGGCCAGTGAGGAGGGAGTTGCAGTAGTCGAGTCGTGATATGATGAGGGAGTGGATGAGCTGTTTAGTGGTTTCTGGGGTTAGGAACGTGCGGATTTTGGCGATGTTGCGGAGGTGGAGTCTGCACGAGTTTGTTAAAGATTGGACTTGGGGCTGGAAGGATAGGTTGGAGTCCAGAATGACACCAAGTACTCTGGCCTGCAGAGCGGGTTTGATATTGGGGTTGTTGGATGTGATGTAGAAGTCAATGGGGGGTGGGGTTCGGGCTGGGGGGAAGACAAGGAGCTCGGTTTTGGAGAGATTCAGTTTAAGGAAGTGGAGCGACATCCAATCTGATATGTCGCTCAGTAGGTGTGTGATTCGGGCAGAGACCGAGGGGGTGAGGTGGGGGGTTGAGAGATAGATTTGTGTGTCGTCGGCATAGAGGTGGTAGTTGAAGCCGTGAGAGTGTATGAGTTGGCCAAGGGAGGAGGTGTAGATGGAGAAGAGAAGGGGCCCAAGGACAGAGCCTTGAGGGACCCCAACAGAGAGGGGGAGTGAGGGGGAGGTGGTAGCATTATAGGTAACGCAGAAAGAGCGTTGTGACAGGTAGGACGAGAGCCAGGAGAGAGCAGAATCTCTGAGGCCGAGGGAGTGTAGTATTTTGAGGAGGAG